CCCCCCCCCCCCCCTCCCCTTCCCGTAAAGCTACACTTTTTATTGTTTGTTGACCTTCGTGATTGCTCAATATTCTTGTCGGTATCAAGTCAACACGTCATTTTCACGGTTGTTAATTATTGTAATTGAATAAATTCGCATGTAAACTCATATGAAAATAGGAACTCACGAGTTCAGGATATGCCAATGGTCCAGCAGAGATTGTGGAGTTCTTGCAGAATGGAAATCTTCGGGGTACTTCTTTATCAGCTCCTCCATCATAGCTCTATCGGGGCACGAGTTACTGCCTATGTCCAAACCTCTCAGAAGTTCTTCCTCTCGCACAGTGAAAGCAGTTCGAGACTAAACGGATAGTAAAGTTACACAAAAGCAGACTATAAAACGGAAGAATTCTGCAGGAAGTTGATGCAAATTTTGCTGACAGACAGATAGTTAGTTGCCCATTACTCATCAAATGAAGTTGATTCAAAAGTTAAGGACCATTTATAAAAATTCAATCGTGATTGTCATCAGTATGATGTCTACCTTGTTGAATAATAGTTCCAACTTCAAAAAAATGACATGGATGTCACGAACTCGTCAACAGTGACTTTAGACGCGAAAATGAGCTGCTCAAGGTAACTAACTACTCAAAAAAGAGAGCAGAAGCAAAACTTCAAATATTTAGGAAGATAAACATACCTGTATTCTCAGAATCTCTTCCACTGGCAACTCATTCATTCGCTTCTTCGCTTGCCTTGAAAGTGTATCATCGTACATCAGCTGATACCACCTAGAAAACTTACAGTGAGAACTAAACAAAAATTTACAGTGAGAACTAAACAAAGTGTCGCATGGACCCCTAAAGGTTACAAAATCTGCTCACCTTTCCTCTATGTCTTCCATGGAATACGGTCTACTAAATTTGATGCTACCATACGCAGCCTTGAGATCGTGTACCTGAAGGAAAAAAAACCATGAATATGACAAAAAAATGCTATATTTTAAACCTACATGTGTCACAGCTGTAACCAGCGCAACATCATCCGCTGCTGTCCATCGTCGCAATTCAGCAGAAGTCATGCCATCAGCCGCTTCAGTGGCAGCTACGAGCTCCTAGCAAAAAAATGTTAACGAAGTCAAGGGGGCAACAAGAAAAAATGGAAGAAGAAATAGAAAAAATGACTAACTTTGCATCTGATGTCTTTGTTCGCAATTCTGGCATCTCTTCGTTTTTTCTCAAGTCTTGCAGCTTCTTCTTCCTCTTCAGCAGCTTGTCGATCCTCTAGGCTATGTGTAGGTCTTCTTCGCAAAGAGTGTGCATG